CAACGCTCGACTAACGGTTGTCCTTATCAACAACAACGATTTTCGCACTGGTGCATTTCTCGAGGCTTATTGAGAGCGCATTTTCGTTCTTCTCGCAGCGAAAAAAGCGCAACTCGATGATGTTGCAAAATAACGGCTTATGCACTTTTTTTTGAGCTACCTAATAGCGTGCATACGCACCGCAACGGCTTACTCCAAATTGAGATAGTAAAGACATTGAAGAAAGATAGTAGTCGATGGCAGTTACCATTCCGGGTCGGTTGAGTGACGCCTTTGAGGTCGTATTTCGTAGAGGTCAGTATTATACCGGGCTCTATGACTTTCACTACGTGAAGAACTCTCAAAATCTGTACGAATGGTTTTTGGCGGGCTTGTATGCTCTCTGACTTGCACGAGGTAGCATCTGCCTCCCGGCGTTAGGAATTGAGAGACATGTTTTTCTGTCTTCAGTTGTAATGAAGCCAGGCTCCTTACACTGCAAACTGGCCGCTGGGTGGCGCGCTAGGTTCATGTAACAAATGGCGAGTCCGTTGATGGCTTGACGGTTGTCACCACATCAAGCTAGACACACCAGCCTCGAGCGTAACTACCTCGGTCCAATTCTTACCAGAGAAAGACTGCAGGCGCGCAGAGCCTATAGCTTCCTGATACTTTGCATGCGGACGTATCACCAACAGCCTCAAAGTGCGAAGCTGGATTAACTCCAGTGTAGGATTCAACAGGCACTGATATAGACAACCGGAAAGCGCCGGCCATCCAACTTCTAGGAGTTTAGTTTGTTCATTTGCATAGATCGTTGATGAAGAATGAACAGCGCTAAGGAGAAAAATCCAAGTGTGGCAAGTTCTCAAGCGTTTTCTTATTTCGGCAATCGCCTTGCCACTCACAAAAACCTAGATACACTCCTTCTGGATCTAGCATGTGTATTATGCCGTCATATTTTCATTAGCTCATATGGTAGGGTGTACCCTTTCCAATTCTTCGATTCAGAGAATCTTTCCTTGCCTTGAAAAACTGGCACGTCTTAGCGCTAAGTCGTTAAACAGATTTTTTTTTCCACTTGTCAAGCTTAATAATCCGGGCGTAGGTTACTTAACCAAAGATTAGGTAACAGCCTCATGCACTATATGTATCACTCGAATCGTCAATTCTCACTACCAAAGTTTTCAAAGCTCACTTCATGTGTTTATTTACTCCCCGATAAGCGTTTGTGAGTTGCGGGTTGTTGCGTCTGGGTCTCTGCAGGTATTTTTATGTGGCGGAGCGTGCATTGCAGTTCGAATCTGAGAATATCATCCAAAAATATGTGTTTCATTTGTCAGTTTCTTGAACCTATGGTTAAGCCCAGATTTATTCTAACGCAGAGTCCTTTACATCCGGATCATTCACCTTGCTTGGCTTATTAAACACCCCGGCTGCTCTGCGACACACATATTGTCGTTTCCAGACCCTATTCGAACAGTATCTTCGTAAGCATTTGAAATTAAACTCCTGCATTCCGAAAACTTGTATGATAAACTCTTACTAGTCTATCCGAGAGCCATTCTCCCACTGACCATTGCAGGCGCGTATTTTAGATATTTCTTAGATTTTTTTGTTGCTCCGCTGTCGTGGTAGGAGTTGAAGTGCTGATACTTGACTCGGAGCTCATAAAAATTGATGTTTTTACTCCCATCGGTCTTTTCGCATTACTGACATGGTTCGTTCTCGGTTGCTAGGGGAGAGCTTCGGGTAAAATAAAGCATTGCCAATTTGAATAGACGGGGAAACCGGGAGCGCCGCTCAGTATCGGCGTCTTTTCAACTTGTAGTTTAGACTGATTTAGCCAAATATCTAGCTTTCATTGTAACGCTTCAGCTCGGGAGCCGTCGATCCTTGCTTCGTACAGAACAAACGAGCAAACCTTTACGTCGGGCAAGTCGATTGACCCCAGTGGCACATTCATCTAAGTCTGTGCGCTCACAGACTCACAATTTCTGAAGATGTGTCTTCTGAACAACTCCGATGCTCTGATATATTCGGCAGCATGATCTGTGCTTATAACTCATAGATTTCGCGTGTTTTGGATCTTAATTTCAAAAATATAAATGAATAGTACGCTGTGTTCGAACAAACGTCACGGAAATAGTTTAGGCTAGAGAAGCTAGTAATTCTTATTTATGCGAGCACTAATGCTCTGTCGTGTGGGCCTAGAAGTAAAAAATCATCAAAGACACTTGTTTTCACAACGCAGAAATAATTCGGGGACCTTGAATCCCTCTGATGCATCATGACCTACTTTGTAAATGTGTTCCATGGAGTCGTATGTCGGTAACCAGGCAGTTGCTTCTTTCGTCTAGCAATTGAGGGTCAAAACGTCCAAAGCTTTGCATACCTCAACAAGGCACCTAAAATAGTTTCCTTCGCAATCCAAAAATATATATAATATGCTAGAGATGACAAGAATAATCGATGAAATTGGCCATCTCATTACTAGACACAAGTATCACCCGCATCAGCACTGATCGACGTTCCATTAAGTGAAACGATCATTGTCGCAAGATAATTCCAATGCTCAGTAGCGTTACCTAATTCAAATCTAGAGGCAATGCGCTTTTTCAGAATTTTTACAACAGATACTACCTGCAAGCGTTAATGAATAATCGTTGGGAGACTAGTTTGACGATAAACGATAAGCGGTTAGTTAGAAAGTGCGATAAGTCTTTGTAAGAGACCTTGGGGGGGCAGAAGATGCTTACTAAAAACTACCGCAGTATGAGGGAGCGAAGTGCTCTAATCATGTCTCACACCAGTGATACTTCGTGAAAAAAAACAGGAAGCAGAAAAGCTTGCTCGTATCCAGGCGCCTTGCTTGTTGGCAAACATCGTAAATAATGGACCTGCTTTGGCATACCTCTGCGGCAATAATATCCCCGTGTTGCTAGTATACACCCCATTTTTATATGTCAGATATTAAGAAACTGCTAGTGTGAACTAAAGAGCCTGAGAAACTCAAAGGGCTTTTCTCTCGAAAACAAACCGCTCTTTTCCTCTACTTGGAACTCTTGCAGTATTGGTAGAATAGACAGTACATCGGGTGGTCGCAAGCGGACATTCGTAATCACAACTTCCAGCTCTATATTTGAATACGAGGTTTTTAGCAGCATCGGAATAACGAGTAAACCATTGATAACAACGGTGTCATCATGAATGCATTATATATTCCAAGATCTGCAATGCACAATTGCACCCATTTCGAGTCCGAGAAGATCACTCATTCAGTACCCGATGCCAGTCCTCCTTCGCGCTTCCTCATATATTCTTACATGCATTGATTAAACAGGCGCATCCAATTGACGAAGAAATGTATAAATACCGATGATTCTTCAGAATCGAGATCATGATCTCAAACAGAACATCACGGATAATTTACTCTGCTGACGCTTCATTACTATAAAAGAATACTAAACTATGAACTTTTACAATTTCATAAGCGATCTCTAGGTCTTGGAAGCTGGTCCGTAGAAACCAATCTCAGCTATTATTCCCCGAAATCAAATGGCAATATTCATTTTCATGTTGAGCACACTGACAGGAATTTTGGTAACGATATCTTGTCACATGCCCTATGTGTATATGCACTTCTATGTAATCTCATGTAAGGTATGCAATACGGCATGAAAGGTACTTATCCTGCGTTTGATCGAATAGCATCGTGCTCCACTGTTAGCGAAGCCGATCTTTAATGTCTTTCCATTTCCATTTACAGAAAATCTGGGAATTTATGTCTATGTCTTGTCGCACGCCTTTAAAATCGTTTTGAAAATGAACAACTGTACAATGTATCACTTTGTATGATTAGTCGTATTTATATTGCATAATATACCAGGAAATGTCCAACGATAATCATACAATTATCTGACTCTTTCAGAGTATCGTGCGGCCCTTTTTGCGGAATTCGACATGTTTCAGCGACCGACGATTTTCTGGGAATCACTTTGTACCATTATGTCATGGTTCTTGATTCCCATTATGTTCCTATTTGATTCTACTTCATTATGCCGTTAACGCTAATAAAGCAATAACTCGCAGATCCCAATAAATTTCCATGATTGACGAATCCCTTATATAACTAACCAATATATATTGCCTCCGCACGTTTAATTGGTACGACAGAAATAGCAAGGACAGGCGGGGTTAACATGCCAGCGTCAGGAAGAAAGCTAAATCAGCCGATCAGAGCACTGATAGGAAGACAGCGAAAGTAAATACTGCCGTGGCTTACCGCAATATACAATTACTATACCCAGGAACGAGACCGAGAGAGCTAATGAGATATAAAGTGAATTCAATATCCTAATACGAAACAATTGGATAACCATTAACAACTTGAATGACCAGTCCAGCAAGCTAGCTACCACTGACACAAATATGCCTCAATGTTCACTTTTAAATCAGGCACTTGAGCATTTTTATTTGCTCAATAAAATTCTATTCGTTGAACGTCACAATGAGAAGGAGTAAGCTTTGTGCTCTGAAACAACAATTTCCATCGCCATGCAATTACGTATTTTTCTTTGGTTCACAAAGGTACTTAGACATAGAAGGAGGTCGCGGTGAGTGGAACATTAATCACGATTTGTGACCCAACAAATTAGTTTTATGCAGCAAATCGCATCCAACTCGTTGTTAGTAGCTAGTTTCTTTATGCTTATAGTGCAAGCATCGTGACTCGCACGGCACCACTCGGCATGTGATATGTACGATCACTTCGATTCCAACGGCTTCAGATCTCTTTGATATCAAAGTCTGTTCATATGATTTTTGGATTTGCTTATGGTGCCCATGTTTATATTATTGAATTTTCGTACAGGAAGCTTGCGCCTTGCTTCCGCGCAATGCACAGCGTGGAAGAGGGCTAGCGCAAGTGACAAGAGTATGGTTATACGTACTACGACACCATCCACTGGGAAGTACATGCGTACCATCACCCGATGCTAGAAAGCTTTGTCTATTATCAATCACGCGCTATACTTTGGAAGGCTACCGTACAATGCTGCCAGCTTCTCATTGGTAGTAGTGTCCGCCCAAGCATCGATGACGGTCTGGTTGCCGGCAGCCAGGGTAGACAAGTCGAGCGCCACGTCACGGAGAGTTAAATAGTTGTGGGCCTGACCATTATACTGAATGAAGATCTTGAAGAACGTAGCATCGCCCCATTTGGCGCCCGCTACTGCATAGTTATACAGCTCAACGGCATCTGCCAATACGCCACCATTGTTGAGACTAGCCATAGACACGTCAAGAGTGGCATTGTATGGCTGTTCGCTGTAATAATCGAGTTGAGCGCTACTGCCGTCGTTCACGGCAATATTGCCCACAACCATGTTGGAAAGTATATCTTGGTAAGCTATACCATCGGCAATAGCGAAGCTGATCACGAATAGAAGGAATGAAAAAACTCCAATTATAGATATCATGGCTGCGATTGCAACTCTTTTGTTTCTTAGTTGCTTTGCGATATCGCGCAGTGAGTCGGTCTTCGACTTCGTTTGGCACAGGCAACAGCATTTATACGTTAATTCGAGATGTGATTACCTAATTGACACGAGTACTATCCCAATGGGTCCTTATCTCCGTGAATGGTTCTCGGAGATCACGCCTTTTCTTATTACGACGCTTACGTGATTTAAGCCGTCACTATTCCGTAGGTTACTTAGGATACCGTATATAAAGTTCAACGAGGACCCGCCGTTAGTGATATAGCCGTTCTCGACTGCCAAAATGCTATTTACAGTGCTTTTTAAGGTGTTTGTCAAAAAGATATCCCACCTGCGTCACATTGTGAACCTCACACCGTGAACAAGAAGTGCACCTTGGTTGTTCGGATGTCTCGAGCGTACAGATCAAGCCCTATTGCCATCCCAAAAAATCATTTCGAAGTATGAGGACGGTCCGAAACTTTGATTTACTGCTAGATAGCGTCAAATGGTCAATGAAGTAGATCAGAATAGGATAGTAGCGAGAAATAAGATCTATGACAGGATAGTGCATAGTGACAAAAATCGATATTCGCTTCAGCCTATCCATGGCGATAGCGAAGAAGGATGCTGGGGTTCAGGCATTGATGTTGAGTAGTGCGCATAGTCACATTACTTTAGTGCCACTGTATACGAGGGATGGGGGCTGAGACCTTAAATAGTCCGGTCTTGATCACTTCTTTATCAAAACTTGTCATCCAAATAGTTATATCAACCCTGATGGTTCTTTTCCTATGTCCAGGCTCCACTTCTTGTACTTAGAAAGATCATGGAAGTATTAGTTTGCCAATTCAGTGATAATCAATACAATGATATGTTATATGCATTGATGCCGTTGCGAACAACCTCACCGATATCCTGTTGAGATAAAGGTTCAAAAAGCCAATAGTGTACTATTAATAGTTCCTTTGCAGGGGTTTCTCCTATCACCACACTTTCTGCAGCTAAACAAAAAATCTCCCAACATTCACTCCAGGAATAATAGGAGCACCGGATCCAATCTACACGATATTCTCAATTATTATAAGCATGGCGTACTGAAGTCCTTGTTCACGTCTTAGTGTATCTATTGGGTGGCCCGCAGTGTATAAACCAACATAGGGAGCTATAAAAACACGGTTTCCGATGTGGACGTCTGCACCGTCCAGAATAACCAGATTTGTAATTGATCGCAACGTTATCACCAATGTGTATCTTTTGCCGTATTTGCAGTAGAAGAAAGATTCAACTACAAAATTTCCCCTAGCTTCCCAAGAGGCCTCTGGTTAGCTGTTCTTTCTTAATCTCTTCCGCAGGACTTAAGTTATTGAATACATGTAACTTTATTTTAGCATGTTTGCGCAATTCGACAATGTCTCGGTCAAAATTAGCATCGTAGAGTTCGCCAACCACTATCTTGTCCAACGCACTCATTCTACTAATTAATTTCCAGGCAAGACTTGAGAGACAGCTTGCTAAAAAATATATATAGACGGATCTGATTTCATTTTTACTCGGAAAAGGAAACGGCTACAGTCTCAACATTAGCTTGCTTGAAAACTCTAAGGGTTAATCATCTCTAGTTCTCTCTAGTTGTTTGAAAAATAGGCTCAAGAAGAGAAAAGCGCTAGTTTTGCAATTGAATCGAGGCCCCTCAACCCAATGCAGAGAGGTGGAAATTTGGAAATAAGCAGGTGTTAAGATTTAGCAAGAATTCTCTTCTAGAAAAACCCATGGCGTGATGTCGCAATCTAGTTAGCTTTAAAAAACCTAGATAGGGAGAATTCCGAGAAACCTACAACGCAGCGTCTATGTGTCTCTTAGTTAAGTCGACAAAGTAAGAAACATAAAATTGTCGGGGGCAGGTATGTACTCTTAATAACTATATCACGCCTCATCAAGTACTGTTGGTCATAAAATGATGTATTTTTTGGTACCTACATACTGCGCCGAACTAAAGTACTCCAGTTAGCAACGAATATAAAACTTGATAAACCAAAATAGTAAAGGCGAATTGGCCAGCAATGTGCTCTCGCTTAGACAACACGTAGCTTTTTAAAACTTCCCACCAAGGGCATTCGCCTTGTCTTTGGAGACTGAATATGAATCCAAAGACGTTATGATCTTCATCCAACTTTGTATGTTAGGGTAGTCCGCTGGCTTCGCGAATCCCCGCAGGAAAGCCATTTGCAATGGAAAAGAAATCAAAATGTCTGCCCCGCTCAGTTTGCCATCGACTAGATATCCCCGGTTCTTTGAAATCTCGCCCTCAACAAAATCCAGCTGGCTCTTTAGCTCACCGCTGGAGTATTTCTCGCTTATCTTGCCCGTGATTTTGCCTGCTAGGTAGGAAATTGGGAAGGGGATTGGCGCTTTCTGTACCATAGATAGAAGATATTCGATCATTAAGGGTGGCTGCAGCGAGCCTTCGACATAGTGCAAATAGTATTGAATCTTCTCAGACATGTCGGCATCTGTATTGTTCAGTATATTCGACTGATCGAAGTGCTGTAAGATATATTGAAAGATATACCCTGATTCCGCCAGAATTTTCTTCTTACCGGTACTCTTATCCTCAATTTCAACTAAAGGTGATCTTCCCAGCGGGTGAATCTTCTTGAGGGATTCGGGAGCGCGGTGGCCTTCGTCCCTCTTATAAGGAATAATCTCATAGTCGAGTTTCAGGTGATCTAGGAGCCATAAGACCCTGAATGCTCTCGATTCGTTCAACCAGTGTACTCGAATGGTTGGCAAAGTCATTGTCAATCGTTCTTATAATGATGAATATTGAGAAATTGTGAAGTCAATTTGAAAAATGGGGAATTTGAAGTAAATTTCATGTTTCTCTATATGAAAACCCTAGGGGCGACATTTGTAGCAAAATTTACAAGCTCGAAGTGGGCCGTATCACTCTGTACTAGTGCGACACGAATGAGACTTATCAAGCCTACCTCTGGATTTCCGTGGAAGAAAGCTAAGAAGTACGGAAATGGAGTCTCCATATTATGCAAATCGGAGCAAACCATCAATGAGATCACCCAATTTCAACTGTTCCGGCACAAACGTTATTATTGGATTCTTTTCTCTCTTTCACCTAACCATGAGTTCGATGATGCTGTTCGTGATAGCGTCGAAGGACGTAAATATTGCTTGATGGATTATTACAGTAGAAATTTATGCAGTCTCAGGATAAGAGAGCTTCCAAGCTAAATATTTCGAATATGTATAAGGCACACATTCCATCCACAATGCGTTACGATAGCACTAAGTAAGCTGTGCCTTATCGCAATGGTGGCAATTAGTCTGTCTGCATTGTTTGAGTAGACTAGGGTAGGACCATCACAGAGATTTTTGCTTGATCACGATCGGCCATAGTACCAACGGGGGGTTTTTAAGCACTCAAACAGGGCGTTGGGGTCCAAAAAGGTATCATATAACTCTGGAGTCTTTTCCGTCATTTCCAGTGAATAATGGCGCTGCTTGGAAAATTGCCACCTTAATTGCAACTTCCCATAACGTCTTGTTGCGAGCAATCTCATATAAACCCTTCATTTTGATTCGCGTAATTTTTTATTCGCCGCTAGTCGTAAAGACTCGAAAACCTCCGCTTCACAGCTTGCCGAGCACCTGCTTGAGGATTTCGGGATACCACTTGGCAGCCACATCCCTGTGAGATTTGATTCTGTTCCGAAATACAGTATAGCCAATAGGGTACTTGCTCACATCGGGTGAGAATTGAAACCCCACGTCTACTCCCCAATCACCAATGTGTTTGTCTCTTTCATCTTTCATGTCCAAAATCTCTGGAGGTATGTCAGGAACTATACTTTTGTGAGAGTCCAGATCTATAGTTTGAAAAAAAGGAATGGACATTCTTGTCCCTGAACCTTGCTCAGGACTTACCACCCTATGTATCGTGGCTTTGCATACACCATCAGTAATGGCCTCAAGTGTTTGCCCTACATTTACTACGAGGCTACCAGGGGTGTTGTCAACAGAGACCCACTTTCCCTGGAAATTCTGCACCTGGAGCGACCCTTTGTGTTCCGAGGCCTGGTATATATATGTCAAGAAATCAGAATCACGGTGGGGTCCAACACCTTGACCTACCTCGGTCTTGCTCTCATTTAGTGTCGCAGGCGACTTTTTGTACGACACTTCTGGATACGCTATAAGCTTCATCTTACATTGCTGATTTTCCTTGAAGAGCGAATCAAAACCATTAGATTCCAGCCCAATTGCTTCACAAACCAGGTTTCTAAAGATTGTACTGAGTTGAGTCATTACATCAATGTAGTGGGTTACTACAGGACGGAAGTTAGGCGTTTCTCTCTCGTCGGGCCATAGGTTTGGACCTTCAATTTGCTTGTATAGCGGTTCGCCATCCTTGGGTGGGGGTAGCTCCGTTGCCAAGTCAATCTGCTCTCTCAAATCGACTTTCCCCGCCGTAATCTCGTTGGCAAACCTAGTATAACCCAAAAAGTGGGGAGAATGAATCATTTCGCATTTTTTCTTGACATGGTCGGGACATGCAAAAAACTCGACTGCCTGCTGCTTGATGTCCTCGAAATCTCGATGGGAGGGACCGCATTTTTCGTAATTGATCAAGAGCATGAATCCCACATTTATTAGGGCATCACGTAGATCAATAAGAAACTGAGGTTTTGTTTGGGGGTTGAATGCTTTGCTGAGATCAATGATAGGAATCTCGTTAAATGACATTACTGTGCAGTGGTCAACAATCGTCAAGTTCCTGATTGAATCCCGAACAACTATTGATGATTCGGATTCGAGCATCGCTTGCCCTTTATATTAAACGTGAAAAGCCACAGCCGCCGCTCGTGACAAATGGCGGTCGCCGAGACTACAGAAAGAGACAACTAGATGGCAGATAGAACGACAAGTTCTTAAGGACGATCCGATGGTGTCTTGTTAGGAACAGGGCAATGTTATGGAGCATTATCGCAGGTGGACCAAGACAAGTTATGATAGACATACAACTTCCTCACTCATTGATCTTCCGACGAACATAGGTGCGTTAAGCTCTTCGCAACCAAAACTACTCGCTTGCCCTCGCTATTTCGCGCTATTCAGAACGCAGTCCTAGTTTCATTACACATTTTCGCAAAGCTGCTAATATTTTTAGAATATCGTGAGAAGAACACTTGAGATTCACGATGACGCTAGTGGGATAGAATTATCATACGTAGTAAAGTTAGATACTGCTGTAGATTCAGGATATGACAAGCCTTACGAATGACGAGCGATTTCATAAGTCCGGACCTTTCCCAGTTGATGTCTTCTTCAGCACAACATTGCTAGCCATCCATGACACGCAAATTGGGTAGACAAACGATCCTAAAGAACGCAAAGCTCGGGTAACATCAAGGTTCAAATCTCGGAGTTTTTTGACTGAATCGGTTTGGGATAGCTGTGCTAATTATAAACGTCGAAGAAAGAAAAAGCTTCATAATTTACATTCAGGTAGTTGGGGCCAGAAGTTGTCTTGGCACATGGCGCGAGGTAATAGACATAAATCTTACCAAGGACTTCTGGTGTTTCCTGACCGTTCCTGCATTCCTAATTTTGTTCATCATAGTTCGAAGCAAGTAACATGCTTGCCCTGATAAGGAGCTTTCATCGAGGCAAACGTCTGAAACGCCTAGTTATTATATCTCTCCCGATTTTACTATTTGTTTTTTCGTTGCAGTTTGCAGAAAAATTGGCGTTTCTGAGGTCACAGTCATCTGATGCGATAATCAACAGTCTATATGCGAAAGTTCATGATAATGATAACGACTCGACCATAACACTGAGCAATGATGACGTGTGTTCAGAATATTTCCAGTCGCTATTTTCGAGAAATAATCAATGGGGAATCAGAGGCTTTGGGGATAGCAGAACATCTTATTTTTCCAAGAAACGTGTGATCAACTCAATTAAGCATTTGGGGATCTACAGCCATTGTTTCATCAAAGATTCAGCACCGCATGGAGATTTAGATTTCGACAAATTAGAACGCAGGCTATTTCCGGCTTTCACACGCGAGCTACCGACATTCAACAGATGGGACGGCTACTCAGTTGAAGGTTTCCCCAATCTAGACAAACTCCGGACGGCTGAAACCAAAGATTATGACGGAAGGAGGACGTCGCAAGTACCGTTTTGGAGACATGTAAAAGACACCATGAAGGGAAAGGGAATTGTCATTAGTATAGGGGAAGGCGGTGTCGACGAAGTCAAAAGATTGCTCAAGGTTTTAAGAGTTTTGCAAAACACACTGCCCATTCAACTTGTGCACAAGGGTGACGTTTCAGCCTCATCAATGCAAGATATTATAACTGTAGGAAGAGGCAGCGTCAGTGTTGAAAAAGAGGATCGCGTAGGCGAGCTTGGGTATCCCCAAGACATTTGGTTTGTAAATGCGGAAAGGTCGATAACAGATGGTAGCTTAAACATCTTCGAACGCTTTTCCAACAAATGGATAGCTTCCTTGTTTAATTCTTTTGACGAAATGATTTTGATGGATTCGGATTCTGTTCCATTTGTCAACCCAGAAACTCTTTTCGATGAGGTAGGATATAGAGAGACGGGAGCATTCTTTTTAGGGACCGGCCACTTGACGAATTTATCAAACCCAGTGATGTGAAATTCTACAAAAAGCTGTTACCATTGGAAAAGGAGCGCTCTGTTTTCAGAATGCCACATTTAACAAAGTTCACCAGTCAAAATGAACTGTTGAAACTAGGCTATAAACATCTAATGGAGAGTGGTGTGGTACTAATGAAGAGAAAGAGCCATTTACCTGGTCTATTGATATCCTCTACCATGCAGCTATGGAAAGAAACAAGCGAGCCAGTCTATGGCGACAAAGAACTATTCTGGTTGGGACAGTCAATATCAGGCAGCGAAGAGTATCGCTTTAACAAACATGCGGCTGGCGCGCTAGGTATCTTGAAACAAGATGGCGCGGGCAATAAAGACTACATTTGCTCAACTCAACCAACTCACTTCAACGAACAGTTTAAACTACTTTGGGCTAACGGGGGACTACGAAATTGCAAAAAGGCATCGTGGGAGATAGAATTTCATAAAATCAAGCCTCTTAAAGAAACACACAAGTCTGTGGAAGAATTGAAAAAATACTACGAATCTCCACTAATAGCGAATGGGGCAATAATACTACGTCGCTCTAGTCTTTCCCTTTTTCAAAAATTGAGAGAAACGAAAACTGGATTTCAAAAGCGTCTTAGTATGGGATGCTGTGGCTACGTATGGTGTGCATACTACGATCCAAATGAGAGTGAAGGGCATTTGATTCACTTTAATGATAAAGAAGTAAATAGCATCAACTTCCTCGCAAAAGTGTGGAGCTCTGCGTAGCCACAGTGTTAGTAATACAACCAAGTTAGCTGTAGAATGGAGCCATGTAGCTGTTTTATGAGGCGAGTTTGATTCAAAAATAGTAAGTTTGTCATAATTCTTGCTTGAAGCCTCCCAATAAGTAACCGGTGAGGGAAAGATTACTTGTTAATTCTTTGGCCAGGGTCTGGAAATATGAGATATCATTTAGCGCTCTTGACTTTTTCATATCACTTTGTACTGTTATGTCATTACCCAACTTGGCACTACCCATCATTCACATCCCCAAAGCTTTTTATACTGAAACTACGATATCTCAGCGCAAAGTTTAGCTTCATGCACAGTTTTTGCATTGAGCAATGTGAACGGCAAACACAAAGATTATCTCTACAAATCCAGCCGGTAGTGATGCGGCTTGATAGAGTACGACTTGTCTCTTCCTATTCTCGCGGCAAACGGAAATCGCGGGCTGAAATTCTAGTCACTTACTTTCTAGAAGTAAGTCACCGACAATCAGATTATTCGTAACATTCTCCGGTATAAATATCTAGTATCGATGATCTACTTCGTGCCGGTGCTTTATTGGCTCAAGGAGCAAGATTATCACGTTTAGCACGTTTAACCAGTACGTCAGCTTTTTTCACTCTATATCAGTGTGTGATTGACAAAAACACTTGTTCTCTTCACTTTTAGTGGCCTCCTCAATTGTGTGATTTGTCTATTCTATAACTAGATGAAAGTTCCTCTAAAGTGTTTTTCTCATCCTGTCCTGCCCCCGAAGTCTACATAGTATCTATAGAAACAGAAAGAGCTATCTTCAGTCTGTTGTTCACCGTGAAAATCCAAACTACCTTACTTTCTTTGCAAACTTAAATGCATTCTTTTTCTGCACAACCTCCACATCGCAGACTCCAATACCAGCGTCACTTACTCTGTCCAAGACATGGAGTCCGGCGAAATCCGAAATTCCACGCAATTTTCACATTTCACAGAGTCTTTAACCTTATCTGTGATCACTCTGTAGCACCCCAGTCTCGAGTTCATCTGTGGGCAACGCACTTTTTTGATTTATTTTTTGACATGTTGTGAGATCTCCATGCAGGGTTTTCTTCGGCCAATGTCGGTGGGGGTTATCGCATCTTTTAAAAGAGAAAATTTGAAATTGGACCCTGTAGCATTAGAAACGGGCGTGGAGGCGAGATGCCCTATAGAGTGTAATAAATAGATAACGGAGAAAGATAACAACGTTTTGAGGATTGCGTAATGCCTTGCAGGAACATCTCAGGTCGCAGACATTAATTCTCTTCAGCTATTAAACAAATAAATAGAAGTAAGGTAGTCGTTGAGTAGATGAATCGAGGTTTCGAAAGACCACACTGACCGCGAATTAAGCATGAGCAGCCAAAACTCGGATGCTAAAAATTTCGGCAATGCCCGTGTTGATACCATTGACTCTCGCTCTGACGACCAGATCAACCCAGTCGTCTCTTTTGGACGAGAACAAATAGGTGACGGCGATCAGGTGATAACGACCATTGTGTCTTCTCGAGGTAAAGAAGTTAAAGTGACTGGCAATGTGGACGAGGCAATGCGTTTGGCTTTGCAATCCCAGCATATCACGTTCACACCAGAAGAAGATCGGAGATTGGTACGTAAAATAGATTTTTGCATGTTTCCATTGATGTGCATATTGTATTCGATTCAATTCATGGACAAAATTTCCACCGGTTCCGCGGCGGTGATGGGCCTTAGACAGGATCTTAACATGCACGGTACGCAATACTCGTGGGTAGGCTCTGCTTTCTATTTCGGCTACCTGTTCTTCAATATGGGACCCGGGCAATTTATCTTCCAGAAATCAAAATGGCTAGCGAAGACGCTGGGTGTCTTTGTGATTATCTGGGGCATGATTTTGGCTTTGCACGCTGCCCCAAGTGTGAAGTATCCATCCTTTATTGTTTTGAGAGTCCTCTTGGGCTGTGCTGAGAGTATGGTTACTCCTACTTTCACAGTGATCACCGCGCAATACTGGAAAAAAGAGGAGCAGTTTATGAGAGTTTGTCTATGGTTCGGTTTCAACGGCCTAGGTGGTATCTGGGCTAATGCTTTGTCCTATGGGCTTTACATCAGAAAGGATTCCTATAGCATCGAAGCCTGGAGAGTTTTATTCATTGTCACCGGATTGATAACGATCGTAATTGGTATCGCAGTCTACTTCCATCTTCCAGATGATCCATCCAAAGCCTGGTTTTTGTCTGAGCGTGAGAAGTTAATGGTTGTTGAAAGAATTAGAAGCAATCAACAAGGATTCGGTAACCACAACATCAAGTGGTACCAAGTGAAAGAAGCATTTACAGATGTCAGAACATGGCTATATTTCTTATTTTCCATCGGTTCTAACATTCCAAACGGTGGTCTCACCAACTTCATGAACATTTTGATTAAAGAAGATTTTGGATACAACACACAGGATTCCATTCTAATGACCATGCCCAGTTACGCTGTTGAATTGGTCGTATGTCCTCTATTTGGATACATTTCCGTTATTTGCGCCAGAAAGAATGTTCCCTTCTTGCAACATAGGTTGGCCTGGGGTATTATCGCAGCCGCACTAAGTTTGGTTGCGACTTGTATGCTAGCATTTTCTAAGGAAAACAGCATGCAAAACTGGCTGGTGCCTACTTATTATACGTTGCTCCTTTGGCGTTCATTTGCGTGCTGTCGATTATCAGTTCAAACACTTTGGGCTACACCAAAAAATGGACTGTTTCATCTATCAACTTGGTTTCTTATGCTGCATCCAACCTGGCCGGTCCACAAACATTCATCTCCAACCAGGCTCCTACTTACACTGGTGCTAAGATTTCCATGTTGGTGTGTTATGCAGGTTGTATTGTGACTTTAACTATGCTCTACTTTATAAACTCCAGGGAAAACATGCGCAGAGACAAAGTAGCCGCGGAACGTGTAGATGAGAAGCATACTATCGAAAATCTTGAGTTTGCCGATTTGACTGACCAGGAGAATCCAAACTTCAGATATGCTTTATAGCTTTGCGGCTATCACTATAATTTTGTAATTTTCATATCAGGTAATGAAGAGTGTTTCAAGAAACTATGTTGTTAAAGTCAAACAATTATGGCTTCGTATTCAGAGTCACTTATGCCTACCTTTCCAGGTTGTCAGGTACCTTGATGTTTTCTTTATGTGAGCGAGAATACCAACTTTGAAAATTTCGTCGAGCTGCTCTAAAGTGAATTGCTTTGTTTCCGGGATACAAAAGTACGCAAGAGCCCAAATTAGGATATTGAAAGCACCGTAGAAGTATAAGCCTCCAGAAGTAGTCATCGTCGCATTCATTTTGGGCCATGTCATGCTTAGACAAAAATCTAAAATCCAATTCACAAACATACAAGTTGCACTGTGAGCCATTCTCACCGATATCGAAGATGTTTCCGCAACTAAAGTAAAGCTTACTGGCCCGATTCCTGTCCCGTAGAACAAAACAAAAACATACATCGATGCCAGCCCAGCACCAAGTCTGCTTTGCGTGTTTTGAACGTTAAGCACACCGCCCAGCCAAAAGAGACATATGGCTTCCACTGGTAAAGTGAATAGCAACATCTTTCTTCTTCCGTAGCGGTCTATTAATTGAGTTGACAAAAAAGTTGCCAGGAAACATCCGCCACCAATGCCAATCGAGCCAGCGATGGCTGTGACGGGGTCAACCCCAGCTTTAGTTAAGATTGTTGTAGTATAGGAAACCAGAATGTTAACACCACCGTATTGTTGCCCCAAAATCCCAATAAAGGAAACAATGATGGCAAATCTGTTCCTTGCATTCCCAAATAAAGATTTAAACTGCTGCCAAGAAGAAAGTGGGTTTTTCAACTCTGCCTCAAACTTCAACGACTGGTGTAAGATGTAAAAATCCCTAGCGCCGGTGAGGTCGTTTGGCCTGAGCTTGATCAAAGCGTCCAATGATTCCCTGGCGCGTCCATTAACAATAAGCCATCTTGGGGACTCAGGGGGGAAGAAGATCAGAATTCCGGTGATAAAGGGTGCCACAGCAGATGAGCCAATCATCAACCGCCACGACAAGGATCCGCTAATACCAACGAAGGCCCTATTGAAAACCGAACCTAAACACACGCCCAAAGCAATAAAGGTTTGCCACAACATAAGGACGGCTCCACGAGAATGAGCTGGAGAACATTCAGCCGTGTAGATTGGCACAGTAGAAGAGTTCAAGCCCATACCAATCCCGAGAAACAAACGTGCAAATAAAAGACACCCTAATCCGTTTGAGAAACCTTGAATTAATGAGCCAGCAAAACCTATCACACAGCTCAATAAAATAATCCATTTGCGCCCCATGTATTTGTCTAGATAAAGCGTGAGTGGTGCTCCAATTATAGCAGCCGCCAGGTATGGGGCTGCCACTGTAAGACCCTGAATATTCGCATCCGTGATATTGAATTGTGTTTGGTATTGCAAAACCGCGCCACCAATCGCACTTTCGTCCATACCAAAGTTAATTGCAGCACATGAAGTACAGATAGCGGCTAATTTCATATGCGGGGAGAGTGATAACATGGGATGTGTTCTAGATCGTTCGAAGGCTCTCCTTTCGGAAACAGCGTATTCATCGGTTTCGATAATTTTCGGGTTGTTGGCCCACAAAGCTCCTCGATTTAGAAGCTCTCTGTAGCTCTCCAAGTTGTTTTCTTTCGCAATATAATCTACTTCCGATAGAACATGTTCTTCGGGCAGATACTCTTGGAAAACGGCAGCAACCTTGTCGTTGACATCTGTAGAAGAGACACCGTCCAAAATTTCCACACTATCGCTGATCTTTTCCTCGCTTTTGTTCGTCATTTTTGAGCGCTGATACGGACCATAATGGGATGTTGGTGCATTTGCGTGCAGTAGCAAGGACCTTTATACAAATTAAGATGTCCTGTGACTTTTAATTCGATGAGAGAGAAAGACATTGAGGCCTCCAAAAGGTCTCCGCGAAGTCAAGCAAGAACTAGATTGCAAATGCCAAAGTAACTTCGAAAAAATGGCGGTATTCAAGAGATCCGCCGTGGTCTTGACCTTCCCACCTAAATGTGTCAAACTCTTGTTCGAACACGTTTCCGGCACTAGAGGCCCGATAGATTTCTGAACACAATTGTCTTTAAAGATGAACAATTTGTGGGTGACATAGTTGTGGACTTTTTTTTTTTGGCACACTGTCAGACAGAGAAGTTTGGCTGTGTCTTAGCGTTGCGAAGGTCACAGGTTATAGAAAATAGACATTGGCCACCATGCTAGCACAAATATATTGACCTCTCATTAAAACACAATGAGAATTTCATATTGCATCTTGTTTAGATGCCTACGTACACCTTTGGCTATTGGTTAGTATAACGGCGGTGATGGGTTCCGCTTCCTACTGTTAATACTTACATAGTGAGGTAGTGTAAATTGGCTCCAGGCCTTTAGATAATTATTTGCGAAGCGATATCTTGTCACTCTGTACTATCCTGACACGTCATTATCTCGGACATTTATATACCGACAACAAATTTCTCTGCCCCAGCTCCGTGCTCTTTCAGTTCTCGAAGTCCAATTGCAATGCTGTGGCCAAAATTGTCCAGGCCTTTGAATATTCTGAGACCCCGAATGGGCTTCAGCGCGTCAGTTTCCAAAAGCTGCGAGGTGTACCGAACAAAGCTCTCCCCGTAACTTATGTCTTCGTGAAATCTTTTGACGTTAACCTTTTCGACAGCAATATTTGTTTGCTCAGACGCTAGTGCACTATCTGGACCATCAACTAAACATACCAAGGTTTTCTCGTAGTTTGGACCATTCTGCAGAATTCTGAACAGAGATGTGGCGGTTGATTTAGATATCGTGTCAAGCCCGTAATGAACTCCTTCGGCGCAAAGATCGCCAACTTCTTTCGAGATGATACTTTCACCCTTCATTCGGTCTATGACATGCGTAGCGCCCAGCTCTTCTAAGTAAGAGGTGTACTTGGCACTTGAAACTGCTATTATTTTATCGAAGCTACCCGAACTTCTAGCCAGCTGAATCGCGTAAATACCAACCGAGCTTGAGCCTCCCCATATTACGATGTTTTTTTTCTCAATCGGTTCTGAAGTGGTACGCTCGTATTTGATAAAAGGCGAAAGAGCAGAACCAGCAGTGACAAGGCCTACACCTATGCCACCTGCAAAGTCCAGCCCAAACTTTTTGCGGAAAGTGCCTCCAGCTACCCTTTCTTCAGGTATCCTCCAAACAGGCCGTGAATCGAAAACAGTATACTCTTGGAATGTCGAGCTTTCTAGGTTGCGATAAGACGTGCTGGCAATGAACACTTCGGTGCCAATGGGAAATCTGACGCCATCTACTTTTTTGCCTCTTTTGACGACAAGACCACTGGATTCTCTTCCATTGATCCACGGGAATGAGTAGATGTTAAAGCGGTAAGTCTTTGATTTCCAGTCGACATGGTTTAGGCCTACGTATTTATTCTGGATTAGGACCTCGAAATCATTAAGCTGATGTGGTATTCTGATATCTTTTGAAACGTCTAGCTCGTCATCAAAAGATTTAACGACGAGTGCTGTCTGTAGTAGGGGTAATTGGCCAGCCAAATCGCCACACGAACTGCCCTTCGACTTGATTTTTTTGAAGGGCTGTGGAACTTCTTTCGGTTCTATGACTGTGATGGCTTCCAGTCCTTTGAAGTGTCTCTTGAGCATTTGAAGAAGTTGTAGGCTCAAAATTACAAGCGAGCACCAACTTAGTGGCATGATCCTAAAAAACTACAAAATGTACGTTGCCTTAATGTACCAATCCTCAGCCAGCCTTTTATTGAGTTTTTTTGTGAAGAGCCGATAGCACGCCCAAAGACATTTTTGAGACATTGTGTCGCGAGCGGAAAACACAGCAGTTTTTGGGACCTCGGGGAAAGAATGAAAATTAAGCTAGAACATCCTCCAAGGTATCCATCGGCTATATAAGACTAGGGTGGTCAATATGAATGACACTGGAAATAAAATGCTAGTGCTTAGTGCTCTGGAATAAAGTCTTTCATTGTTCTTGGCATTGAAATGACACGCGGTAGACGTGATTTAGATGCTGAGGTCAAAGGCGGGAAGAAGACTAAACTGACAAAAAAGAAGAATTTAATTATCAATGCGTTTTTGATGGGATCTGCAGGAAATCAATCGGTAGGAATATGGAGCCATCCTGATGACAAATCAGCGGAGCTCTATCAATCTCCAAAATACTGGACAGAAATGGCAAAATTACTTGAACGAGGCAAATTCAATGCTTGTTTCTTGGCAGATGTCTTAGGGCCCTACGATGTCTATCAGGGTCCTGGAAATATCGGGCCGGTTGCGAAGGCGGGGTCTCAGTGGCCTATTTCTGACCCTAGCTATTTTATTCCATTAATGGCGTCTGTTACTTCAAAACTTGCATTCGGCATAACGATCTCGACCATCAGTGAACAACCTTATCACTTGGCAAGACGGCTTGGTACTTTGGACTTAATCAGCAACGGTAGAGCGGGCTGGAACATTGTGACTTCGTATTTAGACAGCGCCTCAAGGAATCTTCTCAATGGGCAGAATTTACCCAGCAACAAAGAGCGATACGATCGTGCTGAGGAGTATGTCGATGTTGTGTACAAGTTGTTTTTGAGCTCATGGCAAGACGAAAGCTTCAAAGTGGACAAGAAAAATGGAATTTTCACCGACCCCAATGGAATAAGACATATTAACCACGTTGGTGAGCATTTCAATCGTTCCGGGCCCCGCCATTACCCACCCTAGCCAGCGAAAGCTGCCCGTAATTATTCAAGCAGGCACTTCACCAAAAGGGCGGGAACTGGCTGCCAAGAATGCAGAATTAATATTTCTGGCAAGTCTGACGCCTGAAGATTTGGCTCTGTCGATAGTTGACATCAAAAAAATAGCGCATGAAAAGTACCAGAGAGACACTTCAAAATTAAATTCGTTGCTCTTTTAACTGTGATCATAGGCGATACTCATGAATTAGCTGAAAAGAGGTACACGGAGTATAAAGCCGCATATTCTGATGAAGAAGGTGCTAAAGCAATGTTTTCTGGATGGACTGGTGTTGATATCGACAAATTTGAGGATGATGAGGTGTTGACCAACGTAGAAAATGTGGCAATTGCTTCGTCGATAAAAAAATGGCAGTCTGCGTATCCACGAGTGGAGAAATGGACTAAAAAGGCTATTATAGAGGAGATCAAGGTTGGGGGAAGCGGTCCTGTAATGATTGGGACTGCTAGTGAAGTTGCCAAGTCCATCGAGCAATGGGTCACTATTTCTGACATTGACGGTTTCAATTTTGCGTATACAGTATTGCCGCAATCCTTTGAAGAGATTGTCGACAAGCTTTTGCCTGAGTTGCGAAAGCTGGGATTATCTTGGGACGACTATCCAATCGCTACCGAGACATCCAAGGTTTTAACCTTCAGAGAACAGCTTTTTGGCAGCAGATTCTTGGACGTAACACATCCTGCTCATGACTTGAGCTGGAGAAGTGACGAAAGTCGAGACGTGTATGAGGAACGTCTTGCGAGCGCTCTTGAAAAACTGAAAGGAAGCTAAGCTGGCTGTTCAATTCGAGAAAGATATCGCAAGTCTGGAAGTAAAGATTGGATCATTGTTCCATACACTCAGTGCACTCCAGGAAAACATATAATGAGGCATTTATATCTGTGGATAATCTCTAAGTTCGCCCTCATAAGCTCTAATTAGTATTGTATTCAGATGTATTTTAGGACCTCTTGCCGAAGCATCTGTAGAGATCGAAACACCTCTTGGTGAGTGAAGACAGATGAGATGCCCCGACGTTGTAGCAAATTCAAGGCTGACGCAGACTCTTATAAAAATGAGTGCATACCACAAATTAATTCGGCTTGTCCTAAAAAGTGTCCTTTACAGCTATGTGAGCATGCTTTAGACCATAAAAGAGCCTCTCTGCAGTAACGTATGATCTAGCTAGGTCATCAAGGTGACGATTATCAAATATATTCTTCCAGTCTCTGTCCTTGACGAGATATGGCCTGAGGCTGTCAACATAATCTTGAAAAACTTCCCCCGGATAATAATGAAAGAGCAAGTTGGCTCCAGTTTTCGCCTTTCTTTCAAGACTCGCATCACGCTGCTCTTTCTTTGAGGGCAGTCTGAAATTGTTAGACCATAGACCAGCAATAGCTGATGCCTCAAGTTCAAAACTTGGCCACAAGACGGGTGTCACAGTGACGCCTACAAAAGCCAGAGACGGGTCTTTCACAGCTACTAAGTTCAAGTATAATCCATCAACTAATGATGTTCCATCTGGGAAGCTTTTGTTGGGAGCCGGAGCTACTCTGACACCGGTTTCTTCCTCGTCTAAGAATGGATAATGCCAGTGATATCCAGTGGACAGAATGATGTAGTCTACACCAGAAACTGCTGTTCCGTCTTCGAAAACTACTGTTCTGTTCGAAGGCACCACCTTCTTGATTCTTGGTTTGATAATAATACCTTCCGACGTTGCAGCTTTCGTCAGCCAAGGAAATGTTTCCTCCTTATTCGGAGTTCTTGAAACTATGACTTCGTGGGCAATGGGAAAGACGTACTGCAAGATATCAACACCACTCAATCCAGTGCCTACAAACACAACCCGCTTGCTCTTGAAAACTTTTGGATCTCTAAAGCTCTTGGAATGTTGAATTGAGCCCGGGAATACAGCGTTCCATTGGGAAAGACCATCAATTTTAGGAATGTAGGGAATCGAATAGTGGCCGTTACTCACTATTAAGCCATCAAACTCTTCTTCGTACCACCTCACAGATTGGGTATCCCGCGAAGTTTCTTTAATAAACAATTTCCAACCTCTGCTATTGTTCAGCTTTTTTGCCCTGATAACTTCAGAGTTGAAGCGCACATTTTCTGCTAGGTTGAAATTCGCGGAAAACTGTTTAAGCTGTGCAGTGACTTCAGAATTGGTGAGGAATTGACCTATGTCACTTTTGGTACCCGAAGCCTGGTCTTTGAGTGGAATGAATGAATTGCGAAGGTACCGTCGAGGCACATTCGAAAACAATTGACGGTAGACGCCACTGCTGGACCATGTTTGAGGACTGGGAAAGTCCGATTTTTTCGTAACCAGAGGGTCTTCCCTACTGTACTTGCGATCCAAAATCTGGAGCGGGAGCTCGGTCCTTGGCCGAATCACAAACGGTTCGTTGTACCGCTCGGTGTCAAGTGTAGCCCGATCCAATAGGTCAGGCTTTCAAAGGCAGGTTTCCAGATCCCGCCAATGTCAGAGTTGAGCTCAAACGCAACAACCTTATTAAAGGCTACGATTTTTGGCCTCTGAGTATTTGCAGCATCAAATACACCATCACTTTTGTATTTCAAATTGGTTGATCCATCTTCGTTGGTGTTCAGCAGTTCAAATAACGAAGTCAGTCCAGCTGCGCCGGCTCCGATGATTGCAACTGATTTGATCTTGGTCTTCTCTTGGACAGTCATGAGCTGCGTTGCGGGCTTACCAGCACAAGGATGGTTTTATGCATTAAAACATTTCCACTGAAATACTAGAATATGGGGCGAAACCAGACGCTGGTGTTTTTTATGATGTAGACTCGAAAGCTCCGCTGAGGCTGCGTTCTAAAGCCACTTTGACTTGCGAAAATATCCTGGTGTGGTTGTCATGTATGCGACTTAGCTAGGCGAAACCCGGTCCCCTCCATGCCTGAATATATCGCGAGTGGCCAATAGCGATGAATCCCCTGTGCACGGAAATGTAGTGTTGGGTGGTAT